CAGCAATGGAACATCACACTAGAAAAAATTATTCATTGTTCATGGGTGAAATTCAAGAATGTCATTATTAAAAAACATGTCAATGAAAAAAATCTGTGTCATTATACAACAGCCGGTTTAAAAATACTGCCAGCTGTAAATAAATGAGATAGCCTTTTACCCTCTCCCACAGCTTGGATATCTGGCCTTGATAAAGCATGACTCCTGGTTCAGTGAAGAGCTTGGGAAACAGAAATGACAACTTTGATTTTTTCTTTCCTTCTTTTAAAAATTTTCACTAGTAAAAGACAACAGCAAAAAGGATGAAAAACCTCAACATGCTCTGCAAGGAATAAAGTAAATATGACTGTAATTTTGTGACTTTACTGTAGCTGTGTTCTGTGACAAAAGTTACTCCATAAGACCACCTCAAATAATATATCTGTGCTAAAACAAAGTATTTAAGAGAAAAAGGATTATTATAACTCGACAACTGTAGCGTTTATATCACTATTAGGAATCTTGAGGTAATCCAAGAAGACATACACTATCTGAAGGCCACAGGTGTGTCATTGAGATAAAAGTCTTTGGTTGCCTGAGACAAATGAGGAAAAGGTAGTAATGAGAATGAACAACTTTTATGAGCAATAGAGAAACAGATGCAGTTTTTTTTTTTTTTTTTCTTAATTACAACTACATTCTCAAGAAAGATTACAGGTTATAAATATACATATATGTTGCTGCGATCTCTGCACAAATACCTTATTCATCAGAGTTTTATATCTATGTACAATAACAACTTTTGTATATATCAATTTATGCATTTATGTATACATCAAAGGCATTGCCCGACATCTGTGCAGAGATATCACCTGATCCTGAAGTCTTGCTGGATAAGTAAATAATTAACGCTAGACACTGCCATACAATTTGAATTGGTATTTCTGTAAGTTTCCATCAGTTAGTAACCAAGAAAACTCTCAGCTGGTAAGGCAAATTTGGGGTGAACATTACACATCAAAAAAATTATAGTAACCATGATATATCAAACTAATATAACAGTGATAAATCAGGGTTATATCACACAAACTCTTACGTAAAATTTCTAACCATCCTTGAGTGTTCATACCCAGCTTTTATGAGAGCTGGTGAATGGGTTAGGCCTAATGGTTAATGGCATAAAAGCAAATAAATGTGCTAGACATCAAGTCATATAACTCTACAAGAAAGAATAGTAGCAAAAAGGGGCAAAGAGTTAATGATTAGATATGTGACACATCAAAAGTCATACAGCATTTTAGGATAGTATGCTATTGAAAAGGGTAAAGGGGGGTGAGGGTAGAGGGGACGAGTATTTTTGTGCAAGGCGGGGATTACTCAGGCAGAAAGGGGGGTGGGGAATGAGACACAGGATCAGGGAGAAGTATCAGGAGGAATGTCAGGTCCCTGGATCCACAGGCTCCCCTCATTCCCTGTTTAATTATACAGCCCTCGTATGCTTAAGCTTCAGTATCCATAACTGATCCTTCGGCAGCATCTCGGCAAGCAGCAGCAACACAGGACTGCCCGGTCCTTCACCAACTGAGGCCTCCCTGGCTCCCCCTAAATATACACCTGACCTAACCTATTCCAGCCAAAACAATGAGCACTCACACCCACTCAATTACTCCTCAAAGAGATGAACCTCCAGACATATGGTAGATGCATCCCATTTACCATACTGCCCCTGGAGTGACACATCAGGCTTATTGCTCACTCAGCTCACTCACTAGAGGGGAGTACCTGTAGCAGCCACGACCCGCCAGCTCCACATACTTCCCAGGTTGGGTCACGCCAGGTCCAACAGCCTCATAATCCTTGCTCTCTCACCATCAGTTGCTTCTCGTGACTCACTGCCGAGACCTGACTGGTGGACACAAACACCTCAAGGCTTTCTGACTGGACCGCAGGCTCCCCTCATTCCCTGTTTAATTATACAGCCCTCGTATGCTTAAGCTTCAGTATCCATAACTGATCCTTCAGACGCACCTCAGCAAGCAGCAGCAACACAGGACTGCCCGGTCCTTCACCAACTGAGGCCTCCCTGGCTCCCCCTAAATATACACCTGACCTAACCTATTCCAGCCAAAACAATGAGCACTCACACCCACTCAATTACTCCTCAAAGAGATGAACCTCCAGACATATGGTAGATGCATCCCATTTACCATACTGCCCCTGGAGTGACACATCAGGCTTATTGCTCACTCAGCTCACTCACTAGAGGGGAGTACCTGTAGCAGCCACGACCCGCCAGCTCCACATACTTCCCAGGTTGGGTCACGCCAGGTCCAACAGCTTCGTCCTTGCTCTCTCACCAGCAATGGTTCTCATGACTCACTGCTGAGACCTGACTGGTGGACACAAACACCTCAAGGCTTTCTGACTGGACCGCAGGCTCCCCTCAGGGAGAGGATCTGTAGCAGCCTGCAACCTGCACAACTCAACTTCGCATACTTCCCAGGTTGGATCACGCCAGGTCCAACAGCTTCGTCCTTGCTCTCTCACCAGCAATGGTTCTCATGACTCACTGCTAAGACCCTGACTGGTTGGCACGGACTCCTCACGGCTTTCTCCCTGGATCACAGGCTCCCCTCATTCCCTGTTTAATTATACAGCCCTCGTATGCTTAAGCTTCAGTATCCATAACTGATCCTTCAGACGCACCTCAGCAAGCAGCAGCAACACAGGACTGCCCGGTCCTTCACCAACTGAGGCCTCCCTGGCTCCCCCTAAATATACACCTGACCTAACCTATTCCAGCCAAAACAATGAGCATTCACACCCACTCAATTACTCCTCAAAGAGATGAACCTCCAGACATATGGTAGATGCATCCCATTTACCATACTGCCCCTGGAGTGACACATCAGGCTTATTGCTCACTCAGCTCACTCACTAGAGGGGAGTACCTGTAGCAGCCACGACCCGCCAGCTCCACATACTTCCCAGGTTGGGTCACGCCAGGTCCAACAGCCTCATAATCCTTGCTCTCTCACCATCAGTTGCTTCTCATGACTCACTGCTGAGACCTGACTGGTGGACACAAACACCTCAAGGCTTTCTGACTGGACCGCAGGCTCCCCTCATTCCCTGTTTGCTGACATAGCTCCATACTACTTAACCCCTTCACGACGGGTGATGCCGCTAGGCATGAAAACAAACGGCTCAAAAAGTGGCGTGCGGTGTACAGCCGCGGCGGCACGCCAAAGCACGGCGAGCCAGTGATTCGGACTAATGTACTGAACTGACTTGTTCAAAGTCGGCGCGCCGCCGTTGTTTGCCAGAGCGTAGATTTTTTTTTTGGTTTTCTTCAACCGTCACCATTGGGTTAAGCTTCAGGATCCAAATCTGAGATCATCAACTGATCCTCCTCTAGTTACACTCAGCCTAGCAGCAGCAACACAAGGATTGCCCAGTCCATAGCCAACTGTTGATCTCTGTCACCTACAGCACCCAGCCACACCAGTGGGCACTCACACTGGTGACCCCAGAGTGACATGTTTGGCTTATCACTCACTCGCATAGCTCATTCACCAGAGGGGGAATACCTGTAGCTGCCACGATCTGTAAATCAGCCCTGCATACTTCCCAGGTTAGGGTCATGCCAGGGGTGTGTTGGGAGTGAGCAGCAGGAAGGGATTTAGGGGGAACTTGAGAAGGCGGATGATTGATGTCACTTTGAGTGTAGAGGGAACGGGAGACTGAGAGGGTGGATGAGGGTTAGGCAAGTTTTAGAAAGTTTTGAATGTCCTCAAGAGTTTCTGTTAGGGGAGTTCATTAGGGGAGGTCTAAGAAGTGAGGGTCTTCTTATGAGAGGGAGAAGAGGGGATAGACATCAGAGGAGCAGGAGACAAGGTAGGTGTAGGAAAGGATGCAGTAGGAGGAGGAGGCACCATCGCCATTTGGGAAATGATAGAGATTGGAGTGTCTGGATTTAGAATGGCAAAATAATTTAACTGGCAGAGGGATGGCATACAAGTGAGAATGTAAGGAAGAGGAGGAAGACACTGGAAGATATGTAGAAACACCTTAAGAAGGGGGAGAGGCAGAGTGAAGGACAGCACTAGAATAGAGAGCAGGAGAGAGAATCAATGTTTTCTGAAGGCTGGGTAATGACCTGGGTGAATGACCTGGGAGGGACTGAACTGACAGCAGGTGTCGAGGAATGGTTAGTAGTAGCAGTGTTCCGAGTTGACATTATCCCCTCAATGACAGTATCAGAAATCTCTTGGCATCCCTGATTCTTGTGACTTCTGGCAACCTTTCTGGCGTTTGGCCCGGGAGTCCGCTACACATATCGGAACTCACCCTCACTCTAGCATGTCATGACACCTATAGCTGTACCCTGTACATGATGAGTTGGCTTGTTATGAGAGTTATGGGCATGGCCTGGGAATAAAAAGGATAAAGCAGAGCCAGGGGTAAAAAAACTAGAAAAGTTAAAGTTGGTGGGGCTGGCTGATAAAGGGTGAAGCCTCAATGACCCAAATATAGGCACAAAATCATTACTGACCATGGTAAGCCTGGAATATGAGGGGAATACCATGCCCATAGCTCCCTGTGGCCTTTCAAGACTGACTCAAAGCCAGCCTTTTATCCCTTCAACACGGCTCTTATATATTAGGAATTGGACAGAAGAGGAGGTTGGAGAAGAGAAGGAAATGCAAAGGGGGAGAAGAAAAGTGCAAAATTGTTGTTTGAGTCAAGGTCTGATGCCCAAGGTAGGGGAGATCCCCAACACTAGGCTTTAATCTTCATCTCCTAAGTCCTACCCCCTACATAATAGCAACAGGCATGGGATTGGGGTGGGAGAGTTGGCAAGGCATCAAAAGAGTTTCAAGAAAATATTGCATATTGCCCCCAACTACTGCATATAGCTTGTAACGTCATGGCCAACCACTGTCATTCCTCTCAGAAATCTACTGCCCTTCTGGTTAATCTTTAGAGTATAAATGCAAATTGAAGGCATTAACCCAATGATGACAGGTCAAGAAAACAAAAAAAAAAATCTATGCTCAGGCAAACAAAGGTGGCACGCCGACTTTGAGCACGTGAGTTCGGTACATCAGCCTGAATCACTTTGGCGCGCCGCCGCGACGCACAGCCGCACAGCCGCACACCAGCTTTCGAGCAGTTTGTTTTCACACCTATCGGTGTCACCCATCGGGAAGGGGTTAATCTCGTTGAGGACAAGGTGCAGTCATCGATAAAACAAGCACATTCAAAGTTAACGATTTGTAACAACAACAACAACAACAACAACAAAAATCCTAACCTATTCTGATCGCCATGTTTCCCTATTCGATCGCTGTGTTTCCTTAGCTGATCGCCATGTTTCTCTAGCCGACTGCCATGTTTCCCTAGCCAATTTCGGTGTTTCCCTTGTCAACTGCCATGTTTCCCTACCTGATTTCCCTAGCTGATTGCTAGACTCCCTCCTAATCACCCTACTTGTATAGCTGAGGGCCATCGGGGTTAATATTATAACTTAGGAAAGCACACATCGTAAAGAGTTTGCCAGTACTCAATGCTAATATCAACAATACAAGACACTTAATAAAAAATAACCAATGAACTATAAAAAACCTCAAACACTTCATAAAAAGCATATCAACACTTAACCCCTTCCCAACGGGTGACGCCGATAGGCATGAAAACAAACTACTCAAAAGCTGGTGTGCAGCTGTACGCCGCGGCGGCGCGCCAAAGCGTGGCAAGCCAGTGATTCAGGCTGATGTACCGAACTCACACGCTCAAAGTCAGCGCGCCGCCTTTCTTTGCCAGAGTGTAGAGGTTTTTATTTTTTGTTTTCTTCACCCGTCGCCTTTGGGTTAATAAGGTTAATGTTACCGAGACTGATACACAGTGATAGAGGAAAATAGCCACTAACCATCTTACAGAGCATAATGGAGAGAGTAAGAAGCAACGCAGGTACATCTTCAGCGACCCTGTATTCACTGAGGAAGGACGAAAATAGCCACAACACCCTCACACAGCCAGAGTTCTTAATCTCACATTTTTGTTTTTTAACCCAATGGTGCCGGGGAAAATGAACAAAAAATGGGGAAAATATTGTGCCCACTTTCTATGTTTTTTGTGAAATGTCTGCCGATAGAAGGTTCTGCTAGCGCCTGATTTAAATGGCGGGAAAAACGTATTTTTCACTAGTGCTATGAAAATCGATGGTGTTATTTTATCATAAACATTATAATTATTATATATTTTTTTAACATTAGTAACAACAAAATAAGATTACGTAAAATATTTTGTAAATCAAAGAAACGTGTAAACGGGCGAGACGGGCGGTGCTCATAACTGGCTCATTGGGGAGTTAGTACAAGTGTTGCCATCTATGCGTAACAACAATCAAACAAGTACTCATGGTGGGCATAGCACGTACGTACACGTCATACCCGGCACCAAGGGGTTAAGTAGGTACAAAGTGCTAATAAATGGGGGGTATATAGGGGGGGGGTTGCTCCTAGTCTAGGGATTGAACAGAAGGTAGGAAAGGTTTGGATTTTGGGGTTCGCACGATAGCCTGGTTTTGGGGCTTCGTCTCTGGAGGGTGCACCGCTCTCGAGCAACAAATACCAACATTAATAAAAACAAATAACCGAATAAAATATGCTACTGACTTAGACCCCAAACGCAAAATAACCAACGCCAAGGCAATAAAACCAAACCCAGAAAATAACACAATGCGCATTTGTCATCACTCTCACAAGGTTTTTCTAAAAAGGTTACACAGAGACAGACATACAGACATACATTAAGCAAAGTTCAGCTTCTAAATAGAGTTCAATCAACATGCAAACAACGTCATTAACTATGATTGATTGGAGGTCTTGGGTGCCCAGTACACGAGAAGGGAAGGAAGGGGGGAAGGAATGAGGGGCGCGGGGAATGTAAATACCAGAGTAATTAATAAAATATGAGCGATATTAGGCGTAAATAGGGCAAGGGGAAAAACACGGGGAGATTTATAAACCAACGCCGTGTCTCACTTATTTTAAATACCTCCTGTGAACCGAACTCCGGGGAAAACTGTGTGTCTAAGGAGTCCCAGCAAACCCTAGCGAGGACGTGTGATAATTCCCAATCTCCATTATTTACGAGAAAATGTCATAGTCACGACGTCATTCAGATTGTCATGGCCGCCTCCAAGCAACATTATCTTCATACCTCCTTTCCTTCCTTTCCTCTCCATTTTCCCCCTCTCTCTTTTTTTCGATGGCGCATGCATCCCTGTCATACACGAGGAGGCCGCTTACCTGGACAATTAATCCTAAAAACGGTCCTTTTTTGACATAAAATCCTCGGCTTTTCTCCTCCGTTCGAGACGCACCGGAAAGGACGTGTCTCTGAGGCTGCGGTGCCATGTCTCCGATTGCGTCATTGCTCGGGAGGGTTTTTTTCCGTTTTTTCAACTCTTTATCCGGATTCTGGTTAGGTTAAGGAAATTCTATTCTCCTTTTT